CTGATTTCGATACCGAGAAGCAGGACACCATTGACGCCTCCGTAAAATTCTCGAACCTATCGAGATGCAACCCACATGCCTTCTGTCGAGGTTCTATGCAAGACGGCCAGCCAGTAAGATGTCCCGTTCTCGCCCACGTGTGAATCAGGGTGTTATCCCACTGGTCAGATTTGGCCAATCCAACTTTGGCCTCTATTGTGGAACACAACAGGGGAGGGGGGCCGACAGGCAAAATGCTTGCAGGGGTTCGCAGCCAATGAGCCATCGGCAAATTGATCTCGACTACTCTTTTCGAACACAGCTTCTCAGCTCGGTTGATGTGGGGGCGAACGAAGCATGATGGTAGTCTCGGAGGCGTCGTGGTTTAGGAAACTGGTCCAAAGTGTCTTGCCCAGATTCTTGGCCGCATGCCCAGACTCGAACTTCCCATTGGCTTGGGAACTTGGCAGCCGCCCTCAAGAACTCTTGTCTCGGTCAAGCCTTTGCTTGGCAGAGCTTCTGTTGGTTTAGCGCCTTGGGACTGTTGGTGCCTCTTAGCAAACACGACATTCTGGACCCTGACAGTCTCCACGAACTGATGCTTCACGTGGGTGAGTAGGACCAGAGATTGAAGATTATTGGAAAATCCTACATCATCAGATGATGAAATGCTGGTGTGCTCCACGGAGATGGCAGCCTCAGTGCAATCTTTTTCCTGGTTCTAGATGCGGGAGCCGTCCCGGCTGCGGTCAGTTGCTTTTGATCTTCTTCGGTACCGCATTTATTCAAGACTTAATTAACTCGCCATGGTCGCCTGTGGTTCAGCTCAATATTCAACATTTCGGCAGCCAAGTTTGGAAGATCAAATGTGTCCTGGATGACGGGACCAGCCGGTGCCGACCAGACAGGAATGCCAAGACCTGCAATGCACTGCCATTTTTATTCAATGTCGAGTTGATAAGTGACGCTAAATTCCACAGCTTCAAGCATTGATGATCAGATTGCCTATCTTGCCTCGGACTCTTGAGATAATCGGATATAACCAGCCACTCTCTCTTTGTTGTTGCCGACTCGGTATTGAGTCACCGGCAATTTTTGGTTGCAATCCTTTGGCTCACAAGGCCCACTTAACCTCACCACCGTCCCATCGGGAACCAATTGGAGAATACCTGTGCCTTGTTTGTGTTACATCATCTTGCCCTTCTTGTCATCGTTTAAGACTCCGCCTGTCCAAGATGACAGCTTGAAACAGAGAGATGCAGCAAAATATCTATGCAGGATCAATAAATATATTAAGAATGAACCACCCTCACCAGAGGAGAAAACTGATGCTACTTCCATCAACACTTTTATCCGCCAAATCATTCATCATGCCATCAACTGTGAAAAAGAGTCTTCTACCCATCTTCATTTTATCACTGTGTTTAAACTGTTATGCGCTCCCATCAACCCCGGGATTACAGCTCCCAAGTCATCTTGTTACACAGTTCCCTCACATCGCATGGATAGAAAACACTGCGGCGCGCTCAAACGGTGACCTCCTCTTCACTGAGTTGAAACCACAACCGATCCTCTACACTGTCATCAACCCAGCAAGCACTTCTCCCAATGTTTCAGTTATCCACGATTTCTCATTGAACGAGACTCAATCGTTGCTTGGCATTGCAGAAACCTCCAATGACGTCTTCGTCGTCGTCAGCGCTGCCAACTCCACTGGTCTGTTCGTCGCCTGGAGTGTCAACTTGAAATCCAAACCCGGTCCCCACATCTCAAAGATCACTGAGTTGGTCGGAGCAAAACTTCCCAACGGTGTGACTAATGTTCCCGGCTGCCCAGAGCAGGTGTTGATCGCCGATTCCTTTGCTGGTCTAGTATGGAGCCTCAACACTGTCACAAAATCTCTCCAAGTTGCAGTTCAGGTTCCCGAAATGGTGCCGCCAGCCAACATCACAGGCAGAACTCCAGTTGGGGTAAACGGAATCAAGATGCACGACAATTATTTGTATTGGACCAACAGCGCCCTTGCTACTGTATATCGCATCAAGATCGGAGCGGGCGGCGGGACGGCAGAAAAACAAGCAAAGGTGGAGGTTGTGGCAAAGCTTCCCGTCTCTTTTGTTGACGATTTCGTTATCAACGACCAGGGAGTCTTGTTCGCGATGGCGTCTTCAGACAATCAGGTGTGGGCTACGTCGGCACGACCTGGAGGACGGACTGTTGCTGTTATTGGAGGCAAAGACCAGGCAACGGTTTCAGGGGCAACTGCAGGGGCAATGGGCAGGGGAAAAGGCGATAAGCACATCCTGTACGTTGTTACCTCTGGTGCTGACATTCATGGGAACTTGACCGCGACAGAAGGAGGGAAGGTGGTTGCTGTTGATACAAGAAGTTTCAGCATATAGTTGAAGATTCCAAGAGTAGATCACTTTTATAACTAATTAGCAGAACAAGGTTTCGTTCTGTCCTCTATCGTCCTGTTCAGGTTGGCTAATGACGAATTGCACCTGGCCAAACTCTCTAGGGCTGTTATGAACCGTGATAAAGGGCCAGGATCTATTCCAACTGTTGTCATATTGTAGATATAGTGTAAACTGGAGCGTCTTCATCGTCGAACCTTTATCAAAGTCCAGCATTTTGCACTCGTTGCCGAGCTTGTGAGGTGAGACTATAACATCTAATTATTGTTTTCGATGGCTTATGTTAATTGCAAACGCTATGTCGTCGCATATCTGACTGTTGCGCTCCGTCCTTGAGTGATTTGAAGATAAAGAGGGAATTCCTGTCAATCAGGCCTGAGAATTATTTCGAGATGTACAGTACCAAAGAGGTAGCCAGATACCCCTCTTTTCTCCTCTTTTTTATTCCCTCCGGTTTACCCCACCTCTCACGCAACCCTTCTTCCGCTCCCTCTCATCTTGACATCTTCACCCAATCACCCAATCAACCAAGAAGATGGCCACCAACCTCGATCAGACTAGAGTCACTTACCTCATCATTGGCTCAGGAGTCTTCGGCGCCTCAACAGCCCTCCATCTCGCAAAATCCTCGTCTCGTCCTCCCAAGGTCATCCTCCTCGACCGTGACCACTACTCGGCACCCCGCCGCGTTGCTGCTTCATGGGACTGGAACAAAGTCATTCGTTGTGATTACCCTTCCTCACCCTTGCACACCAGACTCGCCCTCGAGGCTCAACAGCTCTGGCGGAACGACCCATTATTCTCACCTTACTATCACGAATGTGGTTCGTTCTGGGCTTCTCGCTCAAACTTTCGTGATGTGGTTGAACAAAACTTGAGTGTAAATGGGAATTTGGACACTGGTGCAAAGGTTTACTCAGTTGAGGAGGCCAAGAAGCTGTATGGTGGTGTTTTTGAGCATGGAGATTACACAGGGGTTGAAGGGATCTTGGTTAATACGAACAGTGGATATGCGGAGGCAAAGGAGGTTCTGGAGGCTACGATCAAGGAAGCGGTCAGCTTGGGAGTTGAGTATCTCGTTGGAAAGGCTGCAATTCTGGAGTTTGAGGGCGCTTCCTCTGACTTGAGAGTTACGGGAGTGAGATTACGGGATGATTTGGAGGTTATCAAGGCGGATAAAGTCGTGCTTTGCACTGGCGCGTATACGGCCAAGCTGCTAATGGATAGTGATCGGACTCCTGGGGGGCTGGAAATCTATGCCGGAGATCGAATCATGGCTGTTGGAGTAACTGAGGGGCTTGGGGCTTTGAGCCCTGAGGCGGCGGAGAGATGCCGGTTGGATAAGTTGCCGATTGGGGTTAATGACAACCCTGGAGGGAAAGGCGAGTTTTTTTCAAGTCTGGTTGAGAACTCAATGCTAACCAAGGCACAGGTTTCGAAGTAGGGAGCCAACCTCTCCCCAAGCTTAATGCGTTCAAGTACTGGGGTCATACACTCTTCCGCAACACCGTCAAACACCCAGTTTCTGGGCTTTCAATTTCTGCGCCACCCGTGCAGACAGACTATGCGCAATACGATGTGCCCCAGAGACTTAAAGAGGATGTCGATTCAGCATCCAGCGCCATCTATGGACCTATATCAGAGATATGTCTTGAACAAACTCTAGGGGAGTACCGCATCTGCTGGGACGGGGTTACTCCGACACGAGACTTCATCATCTCCCCTCACTCTGCAGTCAAGAGCCTCTTCATTGCGACCGGCGGTTCCTTTCACGGCTTCAAGTTTCTGCCGATCATTGGGAAGTATGTCGTTCAGATGCTTTCAGGTGAGCTAGATGTGGCACTCAAAGAGAAATGGGCCTGGGATAGAGAAATGCCTATGGTTAACGGAAACGACTATTTCTCAGCCGAGTACAATAGCTTAGTATCCTAGCTTTACAATTTATAATACCGCCTTTTCTCATCTGTTTTCGTCTTTATCTTGCAACTTGGCACCTAATAAGGGCGCACCTCCCTTTTGCTACATACGAACTACAGATGTGGCTGTTGGGTTGGAGGAGGACCCCAGAGTCTGGGATTGGTGAGTATGATTGAGAGGTTGACTGCTTGTTTCGGAGCTGCAGACACATTGATGGGGTTTTTTTGCGATCTCAGCCACCGTTTTTCCTGCACTTCTACTGTTGGTTTCCAGTTCGTGGATGGTTATTATAACCATAACCGGTTAGCTTTGCTGCAAATTCGCAGATCAGTGCGTCAATCTCATTCACGGACTTACTTTTACTGTTAGCTATCATTCGAGTAGTGGATGTCACAAGGAGCCCCGATCCGGCTTGTGGGGGTGAAGCCTGATCCACGATGACTCGGCGATTGTAAGTTTATCTACGACATTTGCCGATGGACCCGAATCTTAGAGAATGGTGGGTTAAAAAAGAATTTTTTTGAGTTTATAATGTGGTAAAGGTAACAATGAAAAGCCAAGTCTGGAGAGGAAAGGTACGTGAAGGTCGATCTTCCTTTGATACATTCCTGTCACATTCACATGGCTCAGTTCAACAACTTGAAACCTGCTTGCGGGGGACGACACCAACAACAAATAATTCCCCCCGGGTGACTAGTCTAGTGGTCAGGACGCTTCGTTGTGGAGAGATCCATAGCGTAACCGAAGAAACCCCGGTTCGATTCCGGGGTCGCCCATTAACTTTTGTTATCTTCATTTTTAAGCACTAATCCATTAAATATAGAAGGTATATAATATTAACTCCATTTTTAAGTTTCATTCTATGTCCTTGCTGAAATTCTTAAAGCATTTTCTGAAGTGTTTAACTTTAAAAGTCCTCCTTCTATAAAAGAGCATTCATATATTAAATACCAGAATGTAAGTCCAGCTGTCTAGGTGGGTGAATTTGACATCTCCTACCCTGGAATAAGAACATTTGGGATGTCACATATTTCAAAAGAGATATGTGCCATAAAATTATTCTATCTTCTTTGTCAATTCAGAGCGTTATCGGGCATAACCGGAAGAAAAAATAACCCGAATAATAATGAAATAATTATACACACTTTATGCATGGCTCGATTGACAAGGCACGACTCGGTCGCAGGCGCCACGACAACGCCCACAACCAAGATCTCACGATAACTTCAACTGTCGCCAGATGTGGTGATAAGGCCAGCTGCCAGGGCATGTGCCCTGGGAAAATTATTCTATAACCAGGTGCAAATTTCACATTACCTACATTCTTCAATAGTTAGAGTCGGCGATATTTCGAGAAAACATGTCCGATATCGGAGTTCCTCGAGAACCTCTTTTTAGCGCCAGGGCATCCGTTGTCAAGATGCAGATAGAAAAGCATAAAAACAAACTTTGTTGAACTGTTTCTTAATTCAGAGTAATATGACGGTTTATTGTAACTATTGCATCGCTACCACAACTCCAAGGGGTCTCTAGAGTCGAATATGTCCTTGGGGCCGGGGCTTGCCAGGTACATCATATAGGGTGCAGAAACGGCTAAAACGATTTATTACAACGATCAGAAGAGTCCTAACATCTCATGAATTTGGAAATTTAAGTGCGTAAATAAATTATGTTCGTTTGCATTAAGATGAAAATGAATAAGTGAATTGCTCATTCCCTCTTATTTACCTCATTTCCCATCAGCGGAGACTGGGACACCAACTTCGAGTTTTAGACAAAGAAGTCTTAAAGTTGTGAAAACAATGACAATCAATGGTGATCTTGCTGATATATGATATAGGTTTCTTGTTCTGCACCCCTGAATTCTATCCCTGCCTCAAGCTAGACATTGCAACGCCTCCATGAGCGAATCCAACTCAAACAAGACGCCTTTTAGACCCGTGGAGACAGTTGGGTAAGAGAGATTAATAAGCCTGCCTACGAATGGCGAGATGGAGTCACCATTATTAAGTGCGGCCGCTAGAACTTCTAGAGCAGCTAAGATGAGAAGCGCGGCTGAGTCTAAAATAGATTCCGCCCATCCGCGGATACTACCGTTGCGATGGGGCTGCTTGCAGTATGCGGGCCAAGCCATGCGCGGGAGAACATCGGATGACCTTCTACTGCTTCTAAAGGCGTTCTAACATCTCCACGTCAAACGCCATGTTAATTAATACCCGCAGCGCGGGCCGGATACGACCCGAGAGACATAGCACTAAGGCACCTTTGCCGAACTGTATTCATATGTATAATTTGGTGGAGACTGCGTCACAGACAGGAGATCAGCATGTTGTATGATAGCTGCTGATGATCAATTGGTCTAGACTCGGCAGCGAACGACCTGATATAGAAAAGGTTTCGTGGTACTGTGGGCTGACAGCGGGATATCTGTCCATGTTGACACGTCGCCGGAACGATCGGGATCAATGAAGTGGTGTGATAACAATAGGTAGGAATAATACGTACCCAACTGCAACGTCAAGTACGCTTGCCCATGGCGATGGCATTAGCGTTGCACATGGTCTAATGTACCAAAGTGAGCCAACATCACGATTTGACCCCCACGCTTCCTTCGTGATGTATGTTCTCGACCACCCACGTGGGCTCTCAGACCACTTGCATGTGAGAAATACCATTAAATATTTCCTTCTCTGGTAAAAACCATCAAGCCTATGCGCTGATCAACCTTCGCCTTAAGCAAGCCCCCACGCCACACCTTGTTTTGCCACCTTGTTCGCAGCAATCACATCAGATTTCATGTTTACACAGCCACTTCGAGACTGGGATTTGAGAGGGCGTGCGGCCTTGGCAGTGGGGCTCTTGGACAATGCAGTGGTGGTCTGGAGTTGGATGGTGTTTGGGGATGCAGAGGTTTCCCCAGTAATGGGGAAATGCGAGAACGGAAGGAAATTTAGGGGTGAACTGCAGATGTGGAGGTGTGAGGTCGAGATGGATTTATTTGTCACTCGTGCATGAATTGCAGGAGACTGTAGGATAGGATATCTTGCTGCTTCAGTAGGTTTGTTGACATTAGACATTGTCAGTTCCGGAATTGCATGTTACACGGGAAGAAAAAGGCTGCCGCTTCAAACCGAATACTCGGTGATTCCGAGTGATTAAGAAAAAAAAAACCTTTTCTACCTGCCGATTGCGGTACAAGCCCGAATGTCGCAATGGGATATTGACATTCGACATTGAAGCTAAAGCGGCCATGAGCTGACGGTGAGCGTGGCGTTGAATGATCGGCGAGTGGAATTAAGCTTTTTTCCAGAGACCGGCGATGATACATTAGTGCTGGCGTAGGATGAACCGGGTGCGTGGTTCGGACCGGTTGGCACGGTTGGACCAGGAATTGTGTGGGACTGTCAGGTTGAAGATCCAGAAAAAAGTGGAAAATTTTCACACTTGAGCATGACGCCAAATCACGACATCGGGCCTGGCGTTGAATAGGAAATAATATGACGTACAATTGGCCCCCATCCCAGCAAAACCCACAACTAACTATGGATCCGTGTTTCTGGGCATTCACACTTTTTCTGTGGCCTGCCGCTCCTGTCCAGGGCACCGAGGTCGAGAACCACCGTGACGAGGTTAACCCCGGCTCAAGACTTCTGCAGACCGCTGTCGGCATGCGGACAACTGCCATCCCATCTTTTATAAGGTATCATGTTTAATATATAAAACCGCACATTTGGGACGGATCGACGCACATGTCTTTCTTGTTCATCATCACACTTCTTTGACAAAACCCATTGGGCACTTGAAACATGTCCAAGTTCTTCGGGTCATCCACCAAGGAGGCCGCCCCAACAGAGGGCGAGCCCAAATATGAAATCCGGGGATCAGAGGAAAACAGCGAAGTTGGTAAGAATTCACCTTGTTGTCATTTATTCAACGGCTTCAGAATGCTGATCAGAAACCAACAGGCCAGCTCCATCGCGCCAGCGAGGCCAAACGACAAATTGGCATCGTTTCAGCAATCTTCCTCATCGTCAACCGTGTGATCGGAACAGGCATCTTCGCAACCCCCGGCTCCATCCTGGCTCTCTCCGGCTCCGTCGGTCTGTCCCTTTTCATCTGGGTCGCTGGTATGCTCATCGCCCTCGCGGGCACTGCCGTCTACCTCGAGTTCGGCACCGCCATCCCCAAGAACGGCGGTGAGAAGAACTACCTCGAATATGTCTACCGCAAGCCCAAGTTCCTTACCACTGGTCTCTACACCGGCTACGTGGTCTTGCTTGGCTGGGCAAGCGGCAACTCGGTCGTCTTTGGAGAATACATCCTGCATGCCGCCAACGTCGAGGTCGACAGATGGAACCAGCGTGGAATCGGTCTCGCCTGCATCACCACCGCTTTCCTGATCCATGCCACTTCGGTCAAGTGGGGTATCCGCCTGCAGAACTTCCTGGGTACTGTCAAGGTCATCATCATCCTGATCATCGTCGTTGCCGGTTGGGTTGCCCTTGCTGGCCATCTCAAGCTCCCCGAGGATGAGAAGCCCCACAACTTTACCAACGCCTTTGAGGGGACCACCGGCTCCGCTTACGGTGTCGTCACGGCTCTTTACAATGTTATCTGGAGTTACATTGGTTACAGCAACGCCAACTACGCCTTATCCGAGACCAAGAACCCCGTCCGCACCCTAAAGATTGCCGCTCCCCTCGCCATCGGTGTCATCTCCGTCCTCTACATGTTTGTCAACATTGCCTACTTTGCTGCCGTTCCCAAAGATGAGATCATCGCTGCCCGCCGCCTCGTCGCTGCCTCCCTGTTCAAGAACGTCTTCGGTGGCACTGCCGAGCGCGCCCTCTCCGTCTTCGTCGCGCTCTCCGCCTTCGGCAACGTCCTCTCCGTCATCTTTTCCCAGGGTCGTCTCGTCCAGGAGCTCGGCCGTGAGGGTATCCTTCCCTTCTCCCGCTTCTGGGCCTCTAACCGTCCCTTCAACGCCCCCACCGCCGGTCTTTTCGAGCACTGGCTCGTTTCCATCATCATCATGCTCGCCCCTCCTCCCGGCGATGCTTACAACTTCATTCTCAACCTCATCTCTTATCCTTTGGCCATCATCAACGCCTTTGTCGCTCTTGGTCTGATCTACCTCTACCTCAACCGTAAGGCATGGAACTGGAACCCTCCCATCAGCGCCACCCTCCCCGTCGTCGTCTTCTTCTTCCTCAGCAACATTTACCTCATTGTTGCTCCTTTCGTGCCTCCAGAGGAGGGCCAGAACGTCTACAATGACCTTCCTTACTGGCTTCACTGCGTCGTCGGCTTCGCCATCATCTTTGCTGGTGGCGTTTACTGGCTCATCTGGGCCATCATCTTGCCCAAGATTGGAGGGTACGAGCTGGTCAAGGAGACGGTGGTTGATGATATTGACGGGTGGGAGAGGAGTGTGTTCTTGAAGAAGCCTTTACATAAGGCAAACCAATAAATAATAATGGATGGAAGGAAGAGAGTAATAATTGGTTGATGGTCATTAAGCGATGCGAGTTTTCTTTTTCTTTTGGTTGTTGTTGTCTAGATACCCCTGAATGAGTATGAGTATTATTTGCATCTGTGTTCCCACTCTCTTCTGATCCCGCAAAGTCACTTGTTTCCGAATTTCCAAATCCTTATAAAGTGTTTCCAGGCTACTGCAGGACACTTAAAACTCCAGCCTTATTGCTTTAATTCAAGCTGCATTCAAACATTACTATCTCATCACTACCCTGACAGAATGGTCGTATACTATCGTCAT